AAATACAGTAAATACACTTTTTGCATATTTGTAGCATTGAAATTAGACGCTGAATATGACCATATTGACTTTGTTCTATGTTATTTAATGACGCCGGCGAACGTCAAAGAGTTTCTTGCTCTTCTCATGTACATCCCCTTTAAAATATATCCGAGAGCGAGGCGGACGCGCTGAAAGAAAAGCGAGCGGTAAGCAGGGGAGAGAGAGAGAGAGAGAGAGAGAGAGAGAGAGAGAGAGAGGAAGAGAGAGAGGAAGAGAGAGAGAGAGAGAGGAAGAGAGAGAGAGAGAGAGAGAGTAAGAGAGAGAGAGAGAGAGGAAGATAGAGAGAGAGAGAGAGAGAACAGATTAATATCAGATTATTATTTCGCATAAATCTCAAATATAGATAATATCAGCTACAATTATTATAATATCGGAGCTATTCTTTTTAGCTACACGTTTGTTATACTCTCTGTCTTCAAAATTGAAAGAAATACATAATACTGTGTTATGGAGAAAGGCATGAAAAGAGATAGCAGCTAAAAGTAATAACCCTGCATTGAGGAAACGTTGAAAAACTTACGTAAACGTGTTCTCGTTTCAACTTGGACATTTATCACTAATCACGCATTCACACTGTACACTATACACTACGAGAAACGCGAATAAATTAATAAACGCGCGTTATTTGTGCGAATAAATCCGATTTTTACGCGATACAGAAACGAACGCGGCGCGAACGATCGAGTAACTGATATTTTGAAAACGTCGGTAAAGGAAATGCGTAGAGATGATTCTCGTAGTTGCCACGAGCGGCACCACTTTGTCGACAGCAGCGACTTTATCGACTTCAACGATCGCGACATAACCTTTAAAAGCCCAGAGACGACGATATTTGTCTATTTTTAATTTAATTATACAGCTATTTAATTTATATTATCTTTCATGATAAGATGTAAAATGTGAATATATATGTATATCTTTTATCCTTCTTGTCCAGAATGTCAGAATCGCAGTGGTCTTTCCTGAGCCAGATGTTTAATATTTCGCTGCGCGAAAAATATTTTCGTTGACAGTTGGATGTGACGGGAGAGCATATAAAGTACGTAAATTTCGTGTCACCTGAGCAGTTTTATCTGATAACATCTTAGCAACGCGTCGAAGTAATACATTGAGCTCCGAAAGTGATTTATAGATTTCGATATCGCTTTAGTTCAAATATCATCATCTGTATCTCGTCTCCTTGTTAATAATTTAGGCGCGGCTATAATTTTTCTTTTGATATATTTATATATATGCGCATATATTGATAACGCGATGCTGCGCATTTTCTCGAAGTTTTAGATCTATTTTATGTTGAGATAAAAACGTATCTATCGCAGTGCTTGTGCAATGCATTAGTGTGTATAGTCGTTACAAATACATATAATATTTTGCTGTACTTGTGTATTACGTAATCGATCCACGTGGACACGTGTATGAATGGAGCAATTAGAAAGAGAGAAGGGATATAATTAAAAAATATGATAAAAAGTTTCTATTAAATCGGATACTTGTTCGAGTATCAAAAGTTCACGTTAAAATTAATTTTATAATGTATATGTGTATTATATACTTAATTATCACATATATATAATTTTAATTAATTCTTTCGTGGATCGTATACGAAAAATGTTTCGATTTATCGAAAATTTCTTTAATCTCGTTGTTAACAAATTATTGACAAAAAAAAAAAAAAAAAAAGGAAAAGAGAAATATCGTGAAATTAGACGCTAGTCGTCAAAATTAAGATGATATTTATTTTAATACGAGAGACTAATGTTAATATATGAGAAATTAATTACATAAGTGGTAGCAATATGTTTTGTAGGAAACGTATGATCTGATCATTTGAGGTGACGACATATCCAACATGATGAAGACGAATTTGATAACGTCTCTGACCAAGAGAACCAAACCGCTGCATTATTTATGTCGTCACGGTTCTACTGCCGCGAGGTATCTTTATTTTTTTATAAGACATACATATCGGATATTATTATCCCAGATAGAACGTACTGTTATCCAGCAAAGTCCCGTTGAATGACAGCATTTAATAACAAACGCCGTTTAATCCAGCACGGAACTGTTAACAATAAGTTCTTATCCAAATCTTCTCTCCGGCTAATGCTTGATAATAAGCTTTAGCCGAGGATTAATAAACATCTCACGTATTTCATAAAACTATAACTTGCTATCCAACAACGCAGATTGATATGGATACTGTATATTCCCGATGTGTAAACTTCTTCTTTTTTATTGCAAAAATCTTGTATATTTCATAAAATCTTATAATATAGAATAATATGTCCATCAAATGTGATTGATTCTATTTTTAATTTTATTTATAATCGTTTTCTGCTTTACTATTTTTACTATGAATGGAAAAAAAATGTGATCTTTTCTCTGATAATCCATAAATATAAATTATAATCTTCGAGAAATCTATATTGAAAAATAAATGTGTTCGATAGACAAGTTGTATTATAGACATTGCTTAAAATAGCTCGTGAAACTATTGTTACCTCGTTATAAATACAAGAAGAAATATTCGGATGAACATGAATAAAATTTTCAGCACATGCAGCGCCTACGACCTGGTGATCGTCGGCGGTGGTATCGTCGGTTGCGCTACCGCCCGCGAGATGATCATGAGACATCCGAATATGAAGATGGCTATCGTGGAGAAGGAGAATGTCCTAGCCATGCATCAAACAGGGCACAATAGCGGAGTGATACATGCCGGCATTTATTACGCTCCTGGAAGTATGAAGGTAAACTGAAATAAAGTGTAATTTCTCGCATTCAGCCATCTGGAAAGTCAATATTACTGAATCTGAATTTAGAAGCGGAAATTAACAAGAGTTATTAAATTATGTTTTTTTTTTTTTTTTTTATTATCGTTGATCGTTATCGTTCTTTCTCGTATCGATATCTAATATAAAAGAAAAGCAATTTAAGATTAAAAACTGAAACTTAATAAATAAAATTAATTATAAACTTACTACTTTTGAAATTTAAAATTGCTAAAATTGATTTTTATATATTTACATAGTACATGTATAATACACACATAGTTAAAGAATTAAAAGACCTTTAATTCAATGATTGTTAATAGGCGAAGCTTTGTGTAGAAGGATTAAAACTTTGTTACGAGTACTTTTGCAAAAACAACATACCTCACAAGAAGGTTGGCAAGTTGATTGTCGCCCAAAATCCGAATCAAGTCAAGAGAATAGATGATCTTTTCGATCGAGGTACAAAGAACAATGTACCGGATCTTCAAATCGTTGAAAAAGATTGCATATCTAAATACGAACCAAAATGCAAGGTATAGTGCAAGCAAAAAAGAATGATTATATTTAAAATCTCCTTTTTATCAATTTACCAATTCGGAGTCAATATTTTCTTAATAAAAATTTAACTTGTGATTATCTCATATAATATTAATATCTTCATAATATTTTAATTTCTTTTTTAACATTCAAGATAAAAAATATGACTGCAATAAAAACCTAAATAAAAAATAATGAATAATCGATAAAATTATACTCGTTTTCAGGGAGAAAGGGCTCTATGGTCACCGTGGACAGGTATAGTAGATTGGGCAGTCGTATGTAAAGCTTTCGCCGAAGATTTTAAGAAATTGGGGGGTGAGATTTTCCTCAATTTCGAAGTAATTGGATTCGCGGAGATGGCGGAATCGAAAGAAAAAGGCCAACTGACCCCCATATCCGTTCAATCGAAAGATCGAGTAAGATTTTCTCCTTGAAGATATATTTTATTACGCGTAATAATATCTAATACTTTGACGATTTTTTTCTTAAAGTGTATACCAACAAAGTATGTGCTGACGTGCGCCGGTCTGCATTCGGATCGTCTAGCGGTAATGACAGGCTGTGACGTAAGCCCGCGAATAGTACCATTCCGCGGCGAATATCTTCTTCTGAACGATAATAAGCGGCATCTTTGCACGACCAATGTGTATCCGGTGCCTGATCCCAGATTCCCATTTCTAGGCGTGCATTTTACACCTAGAGTAACGGGCGAGATCTGGCTAGGTCCTAACGCTGTTCTCGCATTCGCTAGAGAAGGCTATAGGTAACGACTTTTTTTTTATTACAAATATATTATTTATTAAAATCAAACATTATAATATTTGCGAGCAATATCATAAAATATATATCTAGATACAATTATTGATGAATTCAATCATAAATGTTTAGAGGCCAGATTTTAACGATATTAAAATTGTTCCTGTATTTTAGCTGGTTCGACATAAATATAAGAGATTGCATAGAAATGGCGAAGTTTCCTGGTTTATACAAACTATGCTTCCGATATTTTATACCAGGTTGCCAGGAAGTGATAAAATCAATTTTTTATCCATTAGCAGTGAAAGACTTACAAAAATTTATTCCTGAAATTACGTATAAAGATATTAAAAGGTCAGTATTTTCTGTGCTGTGATCTGTTTCGGTAAAATTCTCACTGATTTTCATAAATACTTATTAATAGAGGACCAGCGGGTGTGAGAGCACAGGCGCTAGATAAAGATGGCAAGTTAGTAGACGATTTCGCCTTTGACGGAGGCACTGGTGCTATCGGAAGTAGAGTATTGCATTGCCGAAACGCGCCGTCACCCGCTGCAACTAGCTGTTTGGCGATAGCAAAATTTATTGCCGATAAACTCGACCGTGATTTCAAACTTTAAACTATTGATGTTGATATATATATTTGTGTTTAATTGTGCCCAAATTAAAAATAAAACGGGTATTTAGAGAAAAGATATCCAAAGAAGGTATACATATATTTCTTACATGTTATGCAATTTATATTATATATAAGCAAAAAAATTTGTTTCCTATATATGTATATATATATATATATTTTTATATATTTCTTATTTATACATACATATTAATTGTGAAAGACT